CCCAGTGCAAGGATCCAGTGGTGCAGTAACAAACTGCTTTGTCTGCTTCAGGCTGGACTAGATCCCTCAAGCTACTCAGGGCCCATCATGCCAAACACTGTCCCTACACACACATTCCTGCTGATCCCTGATCAAAATGTATGCAGTAACTGCACATAACCAGGGACAACACGCTCTCAGATGAGGAGGTGATGGGTGAAATGTCCAGCTAAGCTGGCTGGACAGTCACTGCTTGCTGACTGCCTGCCACCCAGTAGCCAACTTCCCCACTGCCCATGCAGTGATGTTTTCCTAGAGATGTCGTCTCTAGTTGAAGCCAGAAAAGGCATCAGTGGCATCTCAAGGATTTCAGAAGGAAATGACAGACACATGGTGACAATGCTATCTGTCACTCCAGGCATAGGTGTGTGGGTGTTACTCTATGCATGTTCCCAGGCTGAGGATGTTGTTGGTACCTGTATGGCACCAGTGACAGAGAGATTTATTTCTGCTTGCATCTGAGTGAGTCTTTCTGATGAAGTTCTCTCTATGGTGACATGTGGTGTCAATGCTTGGCAGATTGTAGAGCTCACCAATTTGGCTCAGGAAAACATAAAATCTGATGCTGAACGAAGTGAAAACTGTGTTGAATTGCTTGGGTAGCCTTACAAAGAAAAATGTCATTTTGTGTTGGTAAGACCATCTCCTTCTGTGGTCACAGCTGAGGGTGGCCATGCTGCTTTTAGTAGACCTGCTTTGCCCAGGTGTCAGAAAGCCATCAGCCTCAGCAGCTCACTGCTCTGCCCCTGGCTGTGCTTCCTGGCTCAGAGGGCCTTGCTAGATTTCCTTCTCATTCAGAGGGCCTTGCTAGATTTCCTTCTCATTCCTGGGAGAGCTTGAGTATCTCTTGACCACAGTTGTCCACTGAAGTTTGGTGTTAGGTTATATAAACTGCTCGATGGAGGATGAATATGATCATGGCCGAGCAGAGTGTAGATACAGGACTTTCTCTGGGTTGACTTGAAGGTTGAATTCATGGAGATGGCTTGAGCAATTACTGCCCTTAATTCACGCCACCAATTTTTTTTACAGACGTCTTTGTCAGTGTCAAGCAGAAATAAACGTAATCGTGAGCTGCAACTTGTAAACAATGCATAAATTCAAAGTCAGTGATTTTATTTCACGTTAATGTGTCAGACTGTAAACTCTGGCAGGTAGATTCTCCATCTGACAAACTCTTCTGCAGGGGTGGCAATATTTGAAACAGGGTAAAAAGAACAACTGAGGGTCAGCAAAACATGCTTCATGTTATGAATCAGAAGCTTTTTGTTTTGTGAGAGAGATGGATGAAAAGGTCTTGATGTGGCTCAGGTTTTAAGCCCACATAAAGGGGGCTGTCTTTTTCCAGAGAAGCTGACATTTAACTTGATGTGATTTTCCAATAAGATAGTGAAAACAAAGGTCTTTGACCTAGCAAGCTGATGGCCTGCTGGAGTATCTCCTGGGAGCCCGTGTTCTAGTAAACAGAGCTTACAAGTTCAGGCAACACTTGTGAATTTCAGTACTTTTATCAAAGTTTTTTAAAGCTTTTTATAATTTACAGAAAAATCCAGTTCTGGGCTCAGTTATGCAGCTTCATACCCTTCTATCTGCTGGCATTTTAGGAGTGCCCTGTACTTGGTGATGGGTGACATTCCCAGAGTGCTGAGGGGACTCATCAGGATGGTGCTGCCTCAGGCTATGGACAAAGAATCAGGATCTCTCTTACACACATTTGGTTTGATTTGATGTGCTATGGGAAGGTCACGCACTCATCTATGAGAGTCCTCCAGGCTCTGTTGAAAAAGTCTTCACAGGATATTTCCAGCCAGGTTTTGCTTTGAAAGCTGCTGCTGAGCACTGGCTTTCGGAGGTTTATACTGCCTTGGGTTGTTTGCCTGTTTAAATACCACATCCAGTGCAGTGCTGTAAACAAGGGAGCAAACAGCTACATAACTATGATTCCCAGGAGAGAATGATCTGTTAAAAGGGAAAAGTGCTTGTTTTGTCACAGCTGAATTACTAATATTCCTATAAATTGCTTCTCTGGGGTTGTGTAACGTGTTTGGCAATGTGGCAATAAGAGATGTTGAAATGGGGAACAGACTTAGAGGAGTAGAAATGGAAGGAAGCCAAGCCAAAATACACAGTGAGCCTTTTCCAAAGACAGGTCAGCAATGATCCAAGAGTATTCCCACAAAATGGAAGTTCAGAAGGGAACTGTAAGCAGTGGAAAATATTGCATGCTCAACTTATGTTACGCTTCGGTCACTCTGAGTTCACTGTAGAAAAAAGTGTTTCCTAGAGCTTGAAGTCCTTTCTTATTCATTTCTTTTCCCTTTTTCTTCACTTATATTTAAATATTTTTGTGTTAGGTAAAGTAAACGAGGAGAAAAAAATTAACTGTTTTTGTAACACAGGAAACCTTAAGAATAAAAATACTGCAGAACTTTTCACGATAACATTTGTTAGGATAATATCTCCATTTTTCCTTAGGAGGAAGGCAGCTTAAAGGAGAAGTTTTATGGGGTATGTTTCCACTTGGCTTTTATCTTTATTTTAGGCTGGAAAATTACTTGCTGCCTTGCTGGTTTCTACCATTGATGCTCTGTGCTCGCACACCCTTTCTGCGAGTAGGCTCCCATGAAGAAGACTTTGTCATGCTTATTAATATTTAGCTTGTCTTTATTTGTAAAACTACTGTTTGCAGTTTGCATATCTGGTACCAGTGTGTTGATATCTAATCACAAACTAGATGCAACCTGTGCTTTTCTTTTGTTTGAAAGTAGACAGAAACCATTAGAAAAGATCAGAGAAAGATCAGCCTGCTTTAAAGCTCTGACACTACAAAGAGAAAAGACAATCTGGTAGTACTAAAAGCATCAAACTTCTGGCACTGATTACACTCCTAAGTCAAGCATTATTAATGGAGACAGAGATGTTTCCTTTATTGAGAAAGGGATTTATAGCAGGAGTGTAATTTAGATAAACTGGCTGGCCCTTAGGAGATGCATCTGACTCTATTACCTACAGAGAACCTGAAAGACTTATTGTAGGCATCAGCAATTAGGTCATGTGAATATCCACCTCTGCCTCAATTTCTCAGTAAATAAGGAAATGCTATATCACACTTGTTCATGAAGTTTTATTAATGTCTTCAGAAAGCAGACCAGATATCTTTGTTGGTTGTGCCTGCTTGCACTCTCACAATTTAAAAATAGATCAGTAACCCTTCTTCCCTTTCTGACATCTTGTAGTTGGTCAGATTTCCCATCTCTGTTTTCTTCTCCCTGTGTTCAATTATTCTGTTGTCCCAGACAGACTTTTACATGTTATACACTCAAAGTGTCTCCAGGCTGGAAGCTTCTGCACTTACTTTTTATTGAAATTGAAGTAAAAGAGGGGAAGAAACATCTTCCTGACCTGAACAATTCTGGATATTCCACTGATTTGACACTTGACACAGGGAAATTCCTTCTGCAGGCCAGTCACATTAAGGTGGTCAGCCCTGCTAGAGCTCTGGTCCCTAGGCTGCTGCCATGGGAGATCTGAGGTCAAACTTGGTCTCCTGGTTCATAAAGGCCTAAATAACTGGGGATGTTGCAACTGCAAATTTTGTCCTGCCAGTGCATTAAGAGAGCTCTTGCCCACCCTGCCCTTTAGTGGTTACTGTATGCCTCTACTCTGTGGCCTTTTTCCTCATGGAATTAGGGGTGTGATGCCCCATCTCTTGGGTGGCTGCTCAGCCATGTTGAGGATGTGGGAACCATGATTCCTTGCAGTGTCTTGTTTTTCCCAGATGCTGCCACAAGGAACTTGTGAACTTGTTTTTAGCCTTGGTAGAAAGCTCCCCTTCTCCAACTTGTAGGAATTCAGCCTTTTACTGATGTAGCTGGTTTACAGTTACAGATTTCTATATCTCTTGGATATGCTTTTTTTTCATCTATTCCTTTAAAATATGCTTTTAAATGACATGTTGGTAGTGTTCTCTATGTGATGTGACCGTGGGGATTAAAGGTATGTTTTTCTCTAAGACATGTACTAAGAAAAGCTCATTATTTGCCTTTTCAAATTACATGCACTGAGGTCTCCAGCATTCCTGGCTGGAATGCTGAGTCCATCATCCTACCACCTCTGCCAAAGAGAAAGAGATGAGCTGACCTTCTTAGAGCTCATGGAGAAAAGAACTGTCTGTTGGAAAACCCAGATTATTTCAAAAGCAAAATGTCCAGTTAGGGTGAAAAGCCTGAAGGTGTATTCTACAGAATGGCAAGTGAAGAAAAGCATTTAATCAGATTGGTTTTATGGTTTTTATATTATTTTATGGTGATATAAAAAAATTTGGAATAGTTTGTTGTACAGAGTAGAAATATTTCCTTCTAGCTCAGGGCAAAATGAGCCTGTGTCCCCTCTCCTCTGGCAAAGCCTTATGATGTTTACAGTTTGACAGTCTCATGCTTTGGTTCTGTACGGCATTGCTCCCCAGGTGACCTGCATTTCTTGTGCTAACCTATAGTCAGAATTCCCATAAAAAGCAGCCTAGATCTGACCACAGTTTGGGATAAAATGCATTGGAATAAAATGGGAGATAGTGCTTGAAACTGCAGCTCCCCAAGTCTCCAAAGCCAGAAAGAGCAAACAGTTTAACTCAAAAACTCAGAGATGTGTGCTTTAAGTTATCTTACCTGTTGAATTTTTTTTTGTTTTCTCAAAGATAAAAGGGAAAAAGAAAGAGGAAGCTGACTCTGGAGGTTTTTTTGTGATCTTAGGAAGAACTTCCAAAAGTAGCAGCTTCCTGAAATATTTTTATACACCTTATAACAAAATTAACAATACAAACTTCAGAATAAAACAAATTCCAACCCGTAGGTGTGCATGAGTATGGAAAAAGAATAAGTATTGCTCTCCAAGGTCATGTTAAAAGCAGAAGTGAATAAAAATTACTTAAATATACATTCATCTTTGCTTTTTTTTGTCTGCAGATCCCACCTGTGGTAACACATACAGCTCATGGAGTACAAATTATGTGCAGTGGGCGTTCATGTGGAAAATCTGTATGGCTAAAGCATCCTGGCAAACCACAGTTCCTGCTGGGTGAGTTAAGAGTCTGTCTTGAAGGAATGAGGGATTCAAAACTCCCCATGCAGGTGAGTGTAAATCTTTTCCTCCTTTCATGGTTTTAGCTTTGCTGGTGGTTTTAATTCCCAGTTACAAGCATTCATTGGAATGAAATGAGAGCCTCAAGGTGCTGCTGCATGGTTCATTAACCCCAGGAGTTGATGGAGTCCTTCTTTGTGTAGTTTCCATGGTTAGCTCTGTTCTCTGGAGTGATCCTTAACCTGCTGCCAGTCTCACCTGCCCCACCATAAAGGAAAGGTGCAGCCCATGTCAGTCTGCAGAGGGAGCAATATCTCATGGCTTCTGAGTCATGCCTCAAGGCCCAAAGGGGCTGTTCTTGCATTGCTGTTTTCTGTACTAAGCAATTTTCCAAAGCAAGAACTCTGAACACATTAAACTTGAGCTTTGTATTTGCTTTTTCTGTATAGTAATGAGTCAAAAGTGTTTCTGCATTATGTAATTATATAATTCTGTGTTGGTGTTGTTTGGGTTTTTTTGTTGGTTTGGGGCTTTTTGTTTATTTTTATTTTTTGTTTGTTTCTTTGCTTGTTTGTTTGGGTTTTTGTTTAAGCTAGAAAATGAAACCCTGACTGCTGTGGTGAATTTATTCCCTAAAAATGTGTGCAGCCCATAAGGAAGAGATGGGATGATGGTGATGATGGTGATGATGATGATGATGATTTGTTAAAATTAGTCTACCCCTGAGCTTCTGGCAAAGGATTGCAAAGTGTAATTTATGCAGCAAGCTTCAATAATGCAGTAAAAATATATTTGTAATGTAGATACAGTGGCTGAGGTTAACTGCCTCTTTTAAATTTTCCAAGAAAAAAATATCCCTTTTGCTTCAGCAAGCTATGAAGGCCATCTTAAGGGTGAATCCCAAAGCAGGTGATTCAGCTTGATCGACCAGTCCTTTGGGAAAAGCTTTTGTCTTCAAGAGTCGACAGAAAACTGCCACAAGCATCTTGAATGTCTGCTGAAGACAAAACCCAAATCTGGTCTGGGATGCTGAGGCATTGCTGCCTGCAGTCAGCTGGCCTCATGTCTTTGCTGTTTTAGGCTGTGCAGCACAAACATGTGACCTGCCAAGGTAGACACGGAGCAGCTCTGCTGCCAGCGCTGCTCTACTGTTTGCGGGATCATGCGTGACCTGCTGAGGAGCTGTGTTACCTCCCTGTGCTGGGCAGCCAGGTACCATCACAAACTGCAGACTTCAACTCCTGTGAGACTTTTAACAATTCACAAAAATGGCTTTGTGTCTTGCCCTGTATGGTTGAAATTGCATCAGTGCACTTTAACTCTTCCAAGCCATAAATTGCCTGGCAGTTGGTGCCAGGTTGCACTGCCAGGTGCAATGGCTGTGGAGGGAGGGACCCTCAGCACTCCCTGGGCTTCCCTTAGACAGTCTCACAGGCTGAGCTGCTCCTTGCTTTGCTCACCTGTGGCAAGTCCCTGTGGCTGCCCAGAGCCACCTGCATGGAAACGTGGCAGGCACTGCCAGGGCAGTGTGCCCACCTCACTGCAGGCTCAGGGCCAGCTGAGCATGGGGCAGCACAGCTCTGCACAAAGCCCTTCCTACGAGGCAGGGATGCCACATGTGGTTGCTAGCAACCACTTCACGTGCCAAATAAAATTCTTCAGCAACAGAAAACAGAAGTTATGACAGCAGGCCAGCTACATATCCAGATATACAGGAATATGTCCTTTGTCAGCCTCATGTAGGGTTATTGGAGAGAAGTTTTAGACTTGTGATGGTTTCTTTTAGCTGAAACAGGAGGTAAACTTCTTCTCTGTGAAAAGTACCTATTTTTGGAGGGCAATCATTCATTTAATTTAAAAATATTTAGTTTAGCCCCATGTTTTGCTCTCTGGAAAAGGCTCAGCAATGTGAGCATTATTTATTCAAACTTCCACAGAAGTTAAACTTGCTAACTGTGAAGTTTCAAGGCTTTGCTCTGCACAGGGTAAATTGTGTTTGTGCTACTGAAGTCAACTCTTGCACATCTGCTGAGCATCTTGTCCACAAGTATCTGCAATAAGCTGGCAGTGACATTTATTTCATAGAATGAGATTGGATTTTATTATTGCTCTTCGTATCATCCAAGATACACACATCAAGAACTGATTCTCATCCTCTGTGTCTCAGTCTGTTCTCACATGAGAGCTGTCTCTGAATGTGACCAGAGAATTGGGCCCCTAGCCAATAAAGCTAATATTTTACAAAAGGACATATCAGGCAATGTAAACTGCCCTCACAAGGAAAGTTTACATGTCTGAAATATCTAATGCTTTTTTAAACTTCTGCCTCTCTTTCCACTGCCAACTTTCTCCAAGAGAATCATGCTTCCTAAGACATCCTTTCCGATTGTAAATTATTCTCACATATCTAGCCAGAACACAGACTATGTACTTGCTGGCCTGTCTCAAATGGATATGGCAGGTAATTATTAGCCTCATTAGTAAACAATTCACAATCAGCTACAAATTTTTGATTTAATTGTATGCATGACAGGAGAATATATTAAACTTTAATCTGCAGTTTCATTAAACAAGTGAATACATTAAACTCTCCTCTGCAGTTCCATAAGCAGCAGAGGAGCTAACGTTCAATGCACTATGAGTTATTCTAAATCTTCTGATGCTGGGGTTAGCGAAAATCTCCATTTTCCTTTATTTCCTGTATTTTGCTCTTTCGAGACCTGAACAAAACATCATACCCCTAGATGATCATGTTTGTGCTCTGTTGGGAAGCAATACTAAAAGAGTGTGCTAGATTTTCCTAGTTCCACCTACATTTACTGCCATTCTGAGATATAATTTTTCTCCTCCTTTGGCTCTCTGCCTCTCCACTGAGGATTATAGAGTTCCTTTAGAAATTAGCCCATGCTGCAATTGCCAGAGAAATCCTCTTTCTAGATTCATGGTTTGCTATTTTTTTTCAGCATGTAATAATATGTGCAAGCCTGGGGACTCACAAAAAACTGAAGCCTGTCATGATATGTTCCCCTGCTCCTGTCACAGGTGCACAGAAATTTAAATGCTGGCTATATATTTTTAACTCTTATGCAACCTTTAATACCACACTGACTTTCACCTCAGTCTCATCTGGTTTAGGTGCGGGGTTTTTTTCTGTAACACCTTTCTGTCTCAAGTCACTGTTTCATTTGCTCTGAAAAGCTGCTCCAATTCCCACACTAGTTTTGGAAGCTGAAACCCAGTGCCATGCAGAAGTTAAAATACAGAGGCCTGTGCTGTATCCAGGACCAGAGCACAGAAGCAGCTTTGTAAGACACAGAGGCCTCTAGGATGAGGGCTGTGTTTTTGATGCTATATATGTACATAGGCCTGTGCCTGTATTGCTTTCCTTTGTCTCCCTTCTTCTCATTGTATTTGCAAGAACTGACACTGCTCTTATTTTCAGCAACAGTGGCCTATTTCTAAGACTTTTATAACACAGGATTTCAACAGGTGATAGTCCCAGGTGTGTTGTCTTGCAGGTTAATAGTCCCTATCTATGAAAACTTAGCTTACCATTTTTTTAAAATGTGATTTGAACAATATTGACACTGTTTTTCCTGAGACAGCTTAATTATAATTCCCTGCTTATGAAGTAATATCATTCAAATCACAGCTGTCACAGGACATAACAATCAAATTGTGATCCAATGTGTGACATTATGCTCAGCTGGCTTGTCGTAGGTATTATATATAGAATTTATGAATCACATATTCTTTAGGAGATCTGGATAGTTACAAGAGTAATGCAGAACCACTACTCAGGGTCAGCATCATCAAGAAGTCCCAAGGCATGTTTTTACCATGGATTTAACAGTTGTTTGCACATACCAGTATGTTTAATTTCAGACTGTTTTTGCTATGCCTCTTCTGTTTTAAACCAAGTTTTCAACAATGGGTTTTTAAAAAGAAGTTTTCTAACACTAAAAGCAGACAGTAATCTATGATACTTCTTTACTTGCTGTCAATTTCTGTTCTTTAGGGTCCTCTTGCCTCCACCAAGTTTTACATTGTCCAGAACTTGGTGTAACTGTTAGCTGCCACCAGAAGATGTGGTTCTTCTCCCTCCCATTCCCTGTTGTGCACAATCTGGTTACAGTAAACAGCTGCTAAATATCTGGTCAAGGCAGGAGTGGTTCAGGGAGTAATTCAACACCACACTAATCCCCCACAACAGCAGCTAGTTCTGTTGGAGGTGAGCAAGCTGAACTGATGGAGCTGGACTGATGCATGGGATGACAGCAGATGCTGCAGCCCCAAAGGAAGATGGGGAAGGATGGCCCCCTCCTCTTGGTGGCAGACCAGTTTTACAGCACATCATCTATAATGCACAGCTGTGCTCTATTCTCTTCCTCCTACAGAAATGGTTCCTGTTTTCAAGAGGCTTTCTCATCCTCTGCACTATAATGTCTTTAAGTGGAATATACTCTTTGATATGTTTTCAACACAAGAAGAGATATTCCATTTCCATAGGCAATTGCAAACTTTTCTATTTCTCAAGACTTTATTTCCTCTTATAGGGAGGCTGCCTGAAGTTTCACCCATCTGTATTCCACATGAGTCAACTTTCTCTGCAAAATCTTTATTTTAGATTCAGATGTCACATTAATCAATGTAGTCATGTCCTGTTTGTAATAATCATCTCATCTAAATCCAACATAATATTCCAATCAGTGGAAGTATCTAGCTCTTGAATTCTGATATTTTTTCCTTTCCTTAGCTAAATTTTCCTTTATTTGGAATATATATGCATTGAAATAGTTGAGGATATAGTTTTTTTCCTTTTCACAGTCTAGTGTGAAAATGTCTGGTTTTCCCGCAGACAGACAAGTTTTTCCCAACAGTTGGACACTGCATTGCTCCCATGTGTGCTCCTTACCTCCTGCAAGGTTGGGCTGCTTCAGACTTTGTAGAACGAACACACTCAGTTGCATGTTCTGAGAGTCTCCACACCAAGATCTGATAGGTACAATCTGTATATCTAATTAATCTTTGATTCTTTCAAGTTTAAATC